GCGTTTTAGTTTTAAAACGGCGTTGTAGAATGAAAACGATCCGCGTCCACACTCGCGTTTTACCCAGCGTTTCTGAACAGCTCTTCGTCCACACCAAATCGCTGAAAACGCACATCACGTGACCACACACACACTCTCGGGCAAGCGCTCCAGCATTTCTACCCATATGAGAGCTCTGCTTGTCGGACTGCTCATCAAGCATCTCCCGCTGGATCTAATCTCACTATATTTGCTAAACGTGATATTTCATTCATGTTGTTGTCTTTATCTAACGACATAGGCCTTATTCCCTTACTTTGGTCATTGGAATCTATTACTTGTTCACAGGTAACATGTTTTGGTTAAGCGCAAAGATAAGTTAATGATTAATCCAGGTACATTGACTGATCGCTTGCCTTTATTTCCTACATTGTATAAACTTATTGCATGTTATACTTTTATAATTATCGATTATTAAAACTGATATTCAGCAAAAGAGAGGGAGCGTTTCTTATTTTCACTGAAATTGAAAGGAGGCAGTTGTTATCGGCTCCGTTTTGTTATAAATATCCACACAGTGAAGATGACGCTCATATATGCAGCACGGCGCCTCAACATTTCTGCTGTCTAAGTTGCTAATATTAAAATTAAAATAGGCAGTTCCTTAAATCATGTTTACATTTTATTGTTGAGAAAGTGAAACAACGTAGCCAAGGTGATGTGAAGTTATAAAGTACACTGTTCCCTTTGAAGATTTACCCGTGTCCTCGGTATGTTTTCCATATCAAACTGAGAATGGGGAGACTGCAGCCTTGATCAAACTTGCGAAGTCTTAACTTACAAGAAGAGGATGCGAGACTGAACTGTATGTGGGCTACTTAATATTGAGGAAAAGCCCCAATCAGATAGGCGAACGTTTGCAGCCCCGCCTCCGTTTTCAGATGTCTCCGTCTTTCACCATCCACACTGAGACGGAGCAGCAGCGTTTCAGAATGAAAACGGCCTCTCCAGCGTTTTCGAAACGCTCCGTTTTCGGCGCTCGAGAACTCCGGCGTAGTGTGGACGGATGGCGTAACCGTAGCAACACTTATGCGTTTTCAAACTAAAACGCACTAGTGTAAACGGGGCCTCAAACATCCATTGTTTAACTTATTATTTACCATGCATACGTAGAATTACATGAAACATTACGTCATAAAAATTGACTTGAAAGTCCTGGAAAAGTCATAGAATTCTTGTAGTAACAATGTGTATCAACCCTGTAGTATTTATTTGGCATCTGACGTAAAACACAAAGTGCAAAGGTTCAAAGCAATTCAGTGCTTTTATTTGATTTCCGTTCCTATTTTTTTTTTACCCTTAAACTGCAAAATAACAGTAACTAATGTGCTTTTAAAAATGCAGTCTGTCTCTGCAATGACCCATCAATTTAAAAACTCTGCTTTGCGAGTCTATTTTAAGGCTGGTAAATATCTGAAGCTGCAGAGAAAACAGCTGCTAAACCACCTGCAAGATTTCAGCTCATTATAACAATTTTATCAGAAACGTTTTTCACTGATGGCGTACGAAGAATGGGTTTTGCCATCAGTTGTTTTTAGAAGAGTTTGTCCCTTCAGGCTTTTTGCAATTTACATTCTTTATTCGATGGCATGTATTATCTTCACAGCCACATTTATTCCAGCAAAGCTGTGGCTGAGTTTACTGCTGTGTGAAATTTAGACATAATAGAGTATTGATTTATAAATTGACATGAAAGTGCAGTTAATTCATGCTGTCGTTCAATTCATTTTCACCTTAGAGAAAGCCAAATATTTTGATAGAAATCCTAATAGTGAATTTGCATGAAGGTGAAGTCATTGTCAACCATTGCAAAATTTTTATTCATTCATTTTCCTTCGGCTTAGTCTCTATTTCAGAGGTGGCCACAGCAGAATGAACCGCCAACTATTACAGCATATGCTTTACACAGCGGATGCCCTTCAAGCACTAACCCAGTATTGGGAAACGCCCACACACTCATAAACTACAGCCTAAGTTTAATTAATTCGCCTACAGAGCAAGTCTTTGGACTGTAGAGGAGAGCGGAGCACTCAGAGGAAACCCTCGCCAACATAGAGAGAGCATGCAAACTTCATACAGAAACACCAACTGGCCCAGCCAGGACTCAAACCAGCGACCTTCTTGTTGTGAGGCAACAACTTCCCAGTACTGGGTTGCGGCTGGAAGGGCATCCACTGCGTTAAACATGGCAGAAAAGTTGGTGTTTTTTCGCTGTGGTAACCCTGACAAATAAGCGGCTAATCCGAAGGAAAATGAATGAATGAAATTCCCTATGTTGGTAAAAGCAACAACACATCTTATTACAGACAATGTTATTTATTTATTTTTTTATTAAAAATTTGACTGCACTTTCACTTTTCAACAGGAATAAAGCAAACTTTATTGTTGACTGTCTAAACGTGTGATCCACAAAAGTATTAATTTTTGTTAATTTTTTTTTTAGTATTTCCCTATCTCTTATGTTAAATTGAAAAACAATTATTCATTGGCCTTCGGCTTAGTCCCTTTATCTATCAGGGGTCACCACAGCAAAAGGAACCAACATGAAAACGATTACTGGTTTGGAATATAGTTAGGAATAACTGATGTGGGGTGCGTTTCCAAAAACCATCGTTTGCCAACTAAGATCACAAGTTCCATTGTTACAAACATAGTTGATTTGGCGTTTCCCCAAATCGGCCGTTCCAACGAACATTTGCAAACTGAGCTGTAAGAAACATAGTTCCTGGCTGTGTTCTATTCCCAGTTATCCCCCCTATGCCCTCTTCATTTAGAACCTTCTACCCTTTAAACTTGGAATTATTTTAAAAAGCATTAAAGTCATCTCTCTTAATTGCTTTCAAACTAGTTTTACAGATCAGTTTTAGCATTTCATATTTACAATTGCGCTCCTTTTGCAGTGCACTTTGAAAACATTGATGTCATTTTGAACACATTCTTAATAAATAGCCTCATTGTTTATTTATTTATTTATTTGTTTTATATATTAAGTTAGAATACGTGTTAGCTTTTGTAAGTGATTTTATGTTTTAGAATAGACTATGTAATGTTCTCAATAATATTTGTAAAGGGAAACACAGGTCCTATTTGTGTCGTTTACATTTATGTCAATTAATATGGATGTCACCGACTCGGTCCCAGTCATTCCCCTCGTAGGCCAGCAGAGGTCATCATCTCCGGAGTTCTAACATTACGTCATCCACTTACACTGATAGCATGCACACCTGCAGCTCATCCAGCTGATGACCCACGCACACACACACACTCACTCATTGCAAAGTCTTGTTCTGACCTGGCTAACACTACTGAGCGGTTCTCATCCTTGCCTGCTTCTCCGTTGTTACCTTGCTTTGATTACTGACCTTGTCCTGCCTGCCGCCTGCCTTGTACCTTTGCCTGAACCCTGACTCTGATCCATGCCGCCTGCCTTGAACTCTTGCCTGTACACCGACTTTGATATTAGCCGCCTGCCTCTTACCCATGCCTGCATACTCATCCTGTGTTTGCCTGCCGCCAGCCCTACGATGATTTACTACTGTGTTTGATGTGAGTTCGCACACACATTACATCTGTGTGCTATTTATTATTAAACTGTGTTTAATAAAAATACTGCGACTGGATCCGTCTGTGTCAGCCACTTCGTTACAATGGAAAGCGATCGCATGTTTTTACCAAAACTAATATTCGATTATTTTTAATGCGTGGGCATGTAAAACAATATCATTTGTACAAAAAATGTATGGGGTTCTTTTAAAAACGTAGTAGTTATTCCACCCAGTTTAGAACATCATTATGGGTGTTTTACTTTATAACTAACGTGGTTCAAGTGATGGATCTGCGACAGAGAAACTACGATTTTGGGAAACACTCGTCACTACATCTTTCTTTTCTCAAACGATGCATCGTACCAAGATAGTTCAGCGGCGAGTTGCGTTGTTGTTTGGGAAACGCACCCCAGAGCAAAAATGCTTTTATAATAACCTGTCAACAAATTTCAACAGATGTAGTTTTATAACATCCAGCAATACTGTCTATGAAATACATTTATACAATTATATACAGTATAGTGCAATACAGCCATATTCACAGAACAGACTTGCCCCAAAAATGCCACAGACGTCAAAACCACAGCAGGACATGTTTAACGACTGTCAGCACATTATCTATTAGCACATACCGTACCCTAGATAAACACCAGAACTACAGTCTTTACATAATGCATGAGCATCAATGAGTCTGCAGCAACATTTTGACAAAGAAAAAGGTTTACGGATAGGCAAAACATGCAAGGAGGAGCCAAAAAAAACTGCTTGTGTACTTGGCAGTCGTGATACTCCATGTGACGTTCATTCTTCACCTCAGACAGCACGATCGCACGAAGAAACTTAACTATTGTACGTATTGTCAGAATAGTGGCTAATTTATATAAATGCATACAATGTCATTCAGTGTGCCTCCAAACCTCACACCTAACCCTAGCCATCATTGGGGATGACAAACTAAAATCATACTAAAGATAAACACAAGATTGTACAATTGAATGTGATTTAGCTACTAAAAAACTGCCATGAGGTTGCGTTGTCTCATCTCTTTTTAACCTTACAGCTAATTAAAACTAACAAGAAAACAGAGGCTCTGGCAGGTGGTTTGAGGTCATCAGAGAGTCCTAAAGAACACAAAGCCTCGGGTTAAGAATGGATATAAATAGATGCGGTTCAGGTGCTTGGTTACCTTCACAAAAGACCATTACTGGAGTCTGCACACATGATGCCAGTTTCCTGGCAAAGAAGTCATTTCAAAGAAAATCGACTCTATATCTGCTCTACTTGTCTCAGTTAACACACCTCCATGTTCCTCTTTTCTTAAGTGTTGTAAGAGTCACACGGGGATTGTTAAAATTGTCAGCGTTCGATCTTCACATCAGTTTCTATCAGCAAATGTTTTACTGTTGTTCTCTTTTCAGTCTAATGGGATTGTATGATCTGTAGATTGTTTGAAAACGGCTTGCTGAGCCGTTCTTGTCCATCATTGTGTTTGGGATGAACAGTTGAACAGTTGTTTAAGATGAGATCTTGATGTTGGAAAATGCAATGTGTCTTCTTGTGCTGAAAATAAAGGAGACAAAAGGTGAGATTAGTAGAAGTTCTGAGGTAAATGCCTAAACTCACATAGAGTCAAATCAGTCTCAAAAATAATCTGTAAGATAAAATTCATAAATGTACATTTTATAATTCTGAAATTCATTTCATAAATTAAAAAATGCAGTGAATACAAAAATAAAAACATAAATATTACCATAATCATGCACACATACAGTTGAAGTTGAATTATTTGCCCCCTTCGATTTTTTTTTTCTTTTTTAAATATTTCCCAAATAATGTTTAACAGAGCAAGGAAATTTCCACAGTATGTTTGATAATGTTTGTTCTTCTGGATAAAGTCTTATTTGTTTTATTTCGGCAAGAACAAAAGCAGATTTTAATTTTTTAAACACCATTTTATGGACAAAATTATTAGCCCCTTTATATTTTTTCCATAGTCTACAGAACAAGCCATTGTTATACAATAACTTGCCTAATTACCCTAACTTGCCTAGGTAACCCAATTAACCTAGTTAAGCCTTGAAATGTCACTTTAAGCTTTCTAGAAGTGTCTTGAAAAATATCTAGTAAAATATTATTTACAGTCATGATGGTAAAGGTAAAATAAATCCATTGTTATAAATGAGTTATCAAAACTATTATGATTAGATTGAAAAAATCTGCTCTCTGTTAAACAGAAATTGGGGAAAAAATGAACAAGCTGTCTAATAATTCAAGGGGGCTAATAATTCTGACTTCAACTGTATGTGTCTTATCTAAATAAAATGTCTTTTAAAGCTTGCAGTCTGAAGGTTTTAAAGATAATAGTCTCTCATATAGACAAGCATTATTTATCAGATTGTTGGACAGTTCCTATATGCTTTAACTAGGGCTGGATTAACCTATGGGCACAGGCCCAGGGGTCCGTGCACTCTTGGGACCCCTGCGAGGGGGGAAATGTCACATTTTGGAGTGTCTATTAAGTGCAAATAGCGCACATTGTTGGAATAAGCTTTTTGAGTGATTTCCACCCATCACTGTTTGATTGACAGCAGCGTGAGTGGCGTCGCTCGTAAAGCACATGGCAACATGTTTTGATGCAATCGATTATAAATCAGGTTCGATTCCAGCGTCTGATAAACTCATTCTTCTTTTTTCCCCATTACATATCAGATTAGAAATACATTTGTTTTTAACAGAAAGAAAAATACTTTTGTATTAGATGAAAATAACAAAAATGTGATATAAAGTTACAAGTGGCTCAAAGGTATTTAATAAGGTTTAGACCAGTGGTTCTCAAACTTTGGTGCGTTTACCACTAGTGGTATGCGGGCTTCCTTCTAGTGGTACGCGGAGGAATCAAAAATGTCCATGCTACATATATTTCAAAATTTATCATAAATGATTTATATATGAATATGATGACATATAGCCATTTCTGAGATCCAGGCAATATTTTTTTGATGAATTTGATATGTTAATACTTTCCATTCAAGTACAGGAATTACTGCTTTTTTTTTTTACTTTCTAAGAACAGTAGCCTACCATTTTTAACTTTTAAAAGCACATTTTAATTTAAATGTTGTTTGTTTGTTTATTTATTTATTTGTTTATTACATATAAGCACAGTACAGTGTTAATGTATGTAAAATATGACTATTTATAATATGGCTGACAATAATCAATATTCTTAATAATAGGACTTAATCTGCCACATTTTTGAACAGCGCAAAGCTGTAGCTGCTTTAATGGGCCTTCTACGCTACTGTATTTCAACACTGCTCATTATGGTAGTACTTGGAGAGACAATTTTTTTCTGAGGTGGTACTTGATGGAAAAAAGTTTGAGAACCACTGGTTTAGAATATTTTATATTCATATAAATAGCATCTAAATAGTTATTTTAAATATTTTATAAACAGTTATTTTCCACCTGGTGTTAAATGTTAGTGACATCTTAATATAACTAATTTGTATTTACAATGAATACCTTTTAAAATATATATATATTTTAGTACTGAACTAAAATACTTGAACTGAAATGAACTTGAACAAGTACACTATTCATTCATTCATTCATTTTCTTGTCGGCTTAGTCGGGGTCGCCACAGCGGAATGAACAGCCAACTTATCCAGCAAGTTTTTACGCAGCGGACGCCCTTCCAGCCGCAACCCATCTCTGGGAAACATCCACAACACATTCACACACACTCACACACTACGGACAATTTAGCTTACCCAATTCACCTGTACCACATGTCTTTGGACTGTGGGGGAAACCGGAGCACCCAGAGGAAACCCACGCGAAGGCAGGGAGAACATGCAAACTCCACACAGAAACGCCAACTGAGCCGAGGTTCGAACCAGCGACCTTCTTGCTGTGAGGCGACAGTACTATCTACTGCACCACTGCCTCGCCCTACAAGTACACTAAAAAAACATAAATTTTTTACTAGTTTTATTAGTATTTTTTAATCAAAGTGTGCTTTAAATGCTTTAAAAATAAGTTACATTTTTGTAGACATAAATTCATTTTAGTAAAAAAATGTATTATTATTATTTTTTTTAATTCAACTATAGGGGTGCGGCCAGGTAGGGGGCCCTACAAGACAATGTGCCCAGGGGCCTCTGAATTCCTAATCCTGGACTGGCTTTAACACATTACAAACATGATTTTAACATGTTTAAGGAGAGGATAGAAAGTTTAGGATGTTTATCAAAGCTTGTATGAGTTACTATAGTGTTAGCAAGTTTTAGCATTATGCTAGCATAAGTTAAGCATTGAGGTTCCTAACCTGAATTACTGTTTGTTTACCACATGGTTAAAATAAATAAGCATATGGCTAGTGTGTTTATAACTTATGTTTAATACATTGTAAGCATGAATTAACATTGTTGCATGTTTCTACTTAAAGTTCACATTTGGTATAAAAGAAATGTTATGTTATTAGCATGTTTAGTATGCTGCTAGCATGTAAAAACTGTTATCATGAAAAAACATTGTTAGCATCTTTAGGACATTGTTAGCATAAATTGCCACGTTAGTAGCATGAATTAACATTTTGGTAATATATTTAACACAATGCTAACATGAAATAGCATGCTGCTATGTGTTTCTTACATGTTGTTAATTAAAATTTTCATGTTGCTTAGTACATGTTTTTCATACACGCATGAATTTACATGCTGTATATGTTTACTAGCATAAGTTACTGTTATAACAGTGCTAAACATTGGGCTGTTATATGAAACTTAGAGTATTTTTATTGGCTTAGGTATTATCTGATTGGTGAATCATAAGGGTGTCACGATCCTCCAAATCCTCGATTCGATTACATTTTCGATTCTAAAGGCACAATTCGATTCGATTTCCGATTATGAATAATTAATTAATTAATGACCAATTAATTATTTGTAGCCTACCGTTTAAACTACCTGACCTGCATGGTCTTTGTTTTACCCATAAACAAATCATACAGTAAATGAATAAAGGCAAGATACACACGTAATTACTACCTGACAATCACTTTTTCTGCGGGACTTGTGAATAGGCAGTGATCTGTGTCGTTATAATGGCGTTGGTAAAAAAGACGCACAACCAACAGGAACCAGCCAACAGTATCTGAGGTGTTCGCTAAAATGACTAAGTACAAGTGAGTGAAAGATTGAAGCAGTCTACTGATCCTCTGACTGCCTGAACCCGCTGTCTCGAGCCCATGGCTGTGTGTGTGCGTCTGTGTGTGTGTGTGTGGTCACTTGATGTGCGTTTTCAGAGGTAGAGAGGAAGGAGGGCTGCTCAGAAATGCCACACGCCACTGTGGATGTCAAATCGTTGTCGTTCTAAAATGCCATTTAAAAACAAAGACAGTGTAAACAGGGCCTGAGTGTGTACTTTTCGCGAGCGGATTTGCAACGGGGGCAGGCGGAGGATCGCAATGCCGGTGTTGTCTATCGGACGAACCGTACGTAATACGTACATAGCAGAGCTTGCAAAGCTGTGTTTTTTTTGTCGACAACACGAACGTTGTCAACATAACTCACTGGAAATCCAAAATGCTTACACACCGGCGACTTCATTGAAAGAGGAGAGGATTTAAGCTCTGTCGACGGGTCTCCTGTATCTGCAGTTCAGCAAGCACTTTAACAAGCCTGTTTTTTCCCGCTTGGCAAGCCAAGCTGACGTGACATGGGGGCGTGGCAGCATCGACGATTCTATTTTTTGATTCGATAATCGAAATTGAGCATAAATTTTGATCGATTTCGATTAAAAATCGAAATCGTGACACCCCTAGTGAATCATAAATTGAATAATGCGGGACCGGCCGCAAGCAATCATAAGCGCGGGATCTTCTCAAAATTAGTTCATAAATAAACTTCACTTAGATGTTTTCACACGGCCATGTGTACAAGGATTGTTTTGACAACTGTGTAAAGACATAACATGCTTGGAGCTTATAGAATTCAGCACAAAAAACAGCTTGGAAAAGAAGTTAACTAACCATCCAACCCATTTTTAATCATACTCGTAAGTTGGCAGAATGTAAAGCAGTGCAAAATCCCAATTAAAGCAGTAAGAGATTAATAATGCCACCTTAAATTGAATAGTAATGTATTTAAAGTAGTTTATAAATGGCCCATAATTAAAAGAGTCAAAGTTCATTTACTTTTTTTAAATTATCACATTATTGGGGCCTATTCAGAAAAGACTGGGCCAGATGTCTATGAGCACCACTGCACCGAGAGCTGGATTCTACCACAATTACTTGCTCCAATAGACTGTGAAAGAGAAACACAACCCAAAGCTCAGCCAGCAGGAACATCATCGCACAGCGTCCATCAGTCTTTCTGGAATCAAATTAAGCCCCTCCCAAAAAGTCCAAGACAAAGCTGACATTCGCCAAGTCGCAGCTGGCACACAGCCATTCCCGGGCCTCAGAGCTGCCGAATACACACACATGGACTCTATCAGCATGTGACAGTGAGCGGAGACCTGAGCCATCCAGAGCAACTAAAGTGCGTCACTGCAACCCAGATGGGAGCCACTGGTCTGTTCGTGAGCCAATGGGCTGCTCTGGCTCTGAGCGATTCAATATAAACCAGGGCCTGTTTCCAAATCACAATCTGCTCCCATAACAGCACTACAGGAGTGTTTGACAGCGCTCTACATCAAATATCAGTCAATCTCTGCAGGTTTGAGCTCTGTGTTGGAGCGCTTTCAAACCAATCACAGAACCCGTGTCTCCACGACAACGGCAGGGAAGCATCTCCGACGAATCTGATGAATATGTCAGCATGCTGTCACCGCCAGAGCATGTTAGGCATAAAGATGAGCTGAGTGCAGATGATGATGTTGAAGGCACTTCAAATCACCAGCCAAAAATGTGGCTGAAGTAACTCATTACATGATTATAGGATGATGACTTCTGATATGGGTTAGAAGTGATGTTTAATAAATGGATAGTTCACCCCAAAATGAAAATTTACTCAGTTTTTGGTCCAAACCTTCATGAGTTTCTCTCTTCTGTTGAACAAATACAAAGACAATTTGAAGAAGCTGAAAACCTGTAATCATTGTCTTCCATAGTACAAACAAACTAATGCTATGGGATGGTTGCCGGTTTCCAGCTTTCTTCAAAGTATGATCATGTGTGTTCCACAAAATAAAGAAACTCATGGTTGGAACAAGAAATGTGTGTTACTGATAGCAAAATTTTCATAAACTTTTTTCAATCTCTTTAATGAAGTAAACAAGTTGTTAAAGGGGTGATCCACAGTGTATTTTTAAGGCTTGGTTGTGGTTATAAGTTGGAAAGCAATGTGTGCTCATGCTTCATTTGTAAAAAATCACAATATTTTTTCATACGTCTTACTTTGATTATATACAGCTACTCAGCTAACATGAAAACGACTGTCATATTCCCTAGTTCCTCCGAAAGGCCTGCCCTCAAGAGGCTCTGATTGGTCAGCTAACACAATGTGCTGTGATTCGCAGATCTGCTCCACATCATCAGGAAAACCGTCACACCTCTGGCATGCTCTATACCTCTGCTGTGTAAATACTGTCAGTCAAACAATAACTGTAACCAGTTTGAGCCTGAATCAGACAGAAAATGAAGAGAAAACAGCTGAACCTCATAGCTGCTCTCTAAAATAAAACCTGACAAGTGTCTTTCATAGATATTCGGAATAAGCATGTGTAAGTAATATGAAACATTCGCATATCTTTCACAAGTTTGTTATTTGAGATGTAGAATGCAAAGAAATGGGCTGCATATAGAGACACTGCAGCGCTGGGGAAGATTGTGGGTGTTTACAGCGATTTGACTGATAAATATGAATTATTAGCCAAATTATTAATGGTGCCAAACAGCATTTCCCGTTGTTTACAACCTGGTTTACATCCTCAATACAGCATACTGTTAGAAAGAGGCTAGAAACTGCCTGTAATAGATCAATTTTAAAAAGTAAAAATATTTACAGGTTTTAGCTTTCTCTATAATGTTAAATCACATCTGGCCACGCCTAATCGCTGCGCTAGTTGTCTGCGCGTGGTGATTGCACATGCGTTTATGATCTCATTAACCCGGATGTATTTTTTTATAGTTTGTCAAGGTTTATTCTTTATTTAGCCTTCTTCTTCTTTATTATTATTATTATTATTATTGTTTTACTAATTGCTGTTTTCTTTTCTTTGAGGCTGGCTCCGCCTTGCACCTGCAGCTAATTCGGCTTGTCGTCTTTATAAGTGAAAGATGAGTGTGTGTCGGGGTGGCTCTTGTTTTCCAGCACGTCTGACTGATCCTCCTGATCTTGTCTCTGTCTTGAGAAGTATGACCTGCACTTTTTGAATCTCTCCTTATCTTGTCCTGATTAAGGTCTGAGACTTCTGTGTGCGTCTTGTGCAACCGCCTAAGGAGCCATGCTGGTGTAGTGCCGTTTATTTGATCTATGCTTAATTTATATTTGATCTATATTTTCTCTATGGTTAATGTTTTGCGTTTAAGTAATTGTTTTGACTGAGAGATATTGTTTAATTAATGATTTATATTTTTGTTGCCACCTTAATTTGATCGGACACTTATATTCTGGTCTCTAAATAAATAGAGAATTGTATTTCTGGTTCCCGTGTCCTTTTATGTTGCTAACACCTTCCCTAGATGAGCCTTAAAAAACTGGGGTTCGTTACAAGTTCCCAAACTTTGTTCGGTGTAAGGTAAGCTGACTCTGTAAAAGCAAGTGTCTCCCTTTACATTGAACTTTGAGCGTATTACATTAAGAGATGTTGTTATTGTTCACACATCTACATTACACATAAACTAAAGTTTAAAATATGATATCGCAGTGGACCAACCCTTTAACTGTGATATACTGTGTTGTCAAAGTGACTCAAGGTCACAAAATCCATGAAAATGACTGAAAATGCTGCATTATGCATGCCAGACTGACTGAGTTATGCATTTTGAATACAAACATTATGCATGTTTGTATTCAAAATCACCCTCTATACCCCTAAATAGTGCACTGTTGGAGCAAGCAGCCATTTGTGGTGTCCAGAGTGGACGTTCTGAAGTGTTCATACATCCCCACAATGCACTACATTAACAGGTGTACATCTAGGCTGTGTCCAAAATCGCTCACTTCAATTGTGTCGCTTCACCCACATTCATGAATTCTGTTACCGTAAATCTGGCTTGCCCCCTAACCCATTAAAACTTCATTTTAATTTATTAAACACACCCAAGAACACCCCCACCCCACCCAACCCTACCAGTCAATAGCTGTCCTGGGCAATTTTTAATTAAACAAACTAGTAATTGTTAAATTAATTAAATCAAACAATGTTTCATTACTAATGAACAGCTCGTTAAGTGATAAATAAATGTTAAATATTACAGCATCTGACCAAATTGAAAATGTTATGCATCTGAAGGATTCTTCAACCAGCAACGCATAAAATTTCATCCGTTCCAGTGCACTCATTGCTCAAATTCACTCCTTCAAGTGGACTATATTAGTGGACTAATGTAGGGAATAGTGAAAAAGACACAATTTTAGATACCTCCTATGTGCTCTCAGGTAACTAATACTTCAACTAATGTTATCGCTTGGTGACCTAAGTTACTAGTTTGCTAAATTACATTTTAAAACATAGCATTTAAATGAATGGTTACTGACAAAGATTAGTAATTGCAGCGAAAAAAATATATTTGTGAACTGGGACCCCTAATTCCTACAACTACAAGCTCTTGGTAACCTAATTTACTAGTTTGCTGCACAATATGTCAGAGTTAAGTACAGTAGCAGCAGTTAACTTGCTGATTAACTAGTGACAGTTAGTACCCTTTTGATTTAACGTAAAGATGTAACTCATTCTAAATGAATCTTGAGATCTGAAAATGTAATCATCGTTTTACGAATACGATGCTACAGCCATCCAGACATCCCATTCCCCTCAAGGTATTTGAAAATGAAATTGACCACATGTTCGGAGTCTCTTTAGGGTTTATGTGGTGATAAAGTTGTATCCTGCCTCGGGAGTGTCAGGCAGTGATTTGGAAGAGCTCCATCACTGACAGACAGAGCAATTTCAGCCTGATTGAGTCCCTGATCAAAGCAGAAGCCAGTTCTCTCTCATCCATGATAAAAAAGCATATATATATATATATATATATATATATATATATATATATATATATATATATATATATATATATATATATATATATATATATATATATATATATATATATATATATATATATATATATATATATATATATATATATATATATATATATATATATATATATATATATATATATATATATATATATATATATATATATATATATATATATATATATATAGATATATATATATATATATATATATATATATATATATATATATATATA